CTGAATCATGATTTATAAATTAAGCACAGATGAAGCAATGCCGGGAGGCTGAGCCTTCCCCATTTTGGAGAGAGCCTCACTTACAAATTATATAGGTTTTAGTCTAAATGAAAATTGCTGCAGGACAGCATTTGGTCACAAACTGCAGGGTTACGTTCTGACAGAGGCTGGAACTACCAACAGTAACTATGCCAGAAAAATGGAGGTTTGCTTGAGAAAACATATTTAATGCATTATGGACTGATTCTGAAGGAGGAGGGCTGTCAGAATAAATACCGTGCTTGGAGCCCCAAGGAATATTATTCTTATATAAATGATTCCTACTCTTTAGGGGAAAACCACCACTATTTTCCCTCAATTTTCTTAATTGCTGACAAGAGTGACTGTGTTAGTCCAGAGGAACTCTTGTTTTCAGGGCCTTTGAAAGCTTTCCATTCTCTGCTGCGCAGCGCGGCTGGTGCCGGGAGGGACACGGGGGACGTAAGCCCCAGCTCTGTGCTGACCTTCCCCCGGGACCCTGTGCCCGCCACCGTGCGTGGATGGCGTTACTCTGACACGGGCCAGTCCCCAGCAGCTGGCACAGCTGTGCTGCAGCTCAGGTTGTCCTCGTGGGCATGGGGGGTCCTGCCTGGGGCAGCAGAACCCGGTCTGGGAGCGGTGCCTGGCAGTGGCATGCAGCAAAGTGGGTGGGTGGAAACTTCCAGCTCTCGTGCCCGGTATTAGCATGTACTCTTATCTCTACTTGTTTCCCTGATTTGCTCTGTCACAGGTTAGCATCGCTACCCCAAAGCAGAAGCCGAAAACTCCGTTCTGCTTTGGTGAGTGAGGGGGACCCCTGTGGGCTCCGTGGGGGCACACCCTGCCATGGGAGGCTGCAGTGTGGGCTCACTGCCCTCTGAGTCCTCAGGGCTGCTGCCAGCTCGTCCTTTCCTTTTCTTCTCTGGCAGTTATCAATGCTTTATCCCAGCGCTATTTCTTGCAAGCCAGTGATCAGAAGGATCTGCAGGACTGGGTGGAGGCACTGAACCGGGCCAGTAAGATCACGGTAGGTCGCTTTATGCTCCTCTGTGATGTTCCCTCCACCACCCCCAGGGCTTCCCCTGGTTGGGGTTTACTCATGCGTTTTCCTTTGCCCCAGCCCAGCTGTGGGGGACAGCGGCTGCACCCCAGGGAGGTCCTGTTGGAGCCATCCCCATCCCTGCCTGCTGCAGGGCCCTCTCCCTCCTGTTGCTCCTGCTGGCTGGGATCCTGCCCAGCCAGCTCCTCGCTGTGGCTGTCAAAGGGCATCTTTCTTGTGCTTCAATAACTTATTTACTCAATTTTTATTCTTCCTGGAACGCTGGGTCTTGTGACAAGGCACGGCGAATGCCCTGCACTGTGGGGCATGGCAGAGCAGGCTGTGCCTGCATCCAGAGGGGTTCGTCTGCCATCTCCTCTCATTTACTGCTGTGTTCATAGAGCCGTGAGTTAATGGTCACTGACCCAGTACCTCGCCGAGTCTGTGCTCCGCAGCTGCCCAGAGCTCCCGGCGATGAGGGATGCTGCTGCGCTCCCTCCCCGTGCAGCAGGACTGGGAGCCCTGTCCACGGGCTGGGGGTGATGCTCAGCTGGCAGCATCCACACTGGGGACTCCTGTGCTCCAGGATGGCTTTTCCCTGCACCTGGATGGGGGCTCCCTGTGAAAGGGTTGGGGGCTTCTGCTGAACTGCAGTGAGCAGTGAGGCCAACACTTAACACACGCAATTTTACTAGATTGTGCACTGATGCGTGTTGTTTATGATGTGTAAACCAAACATAAGGAAAAATCACAGTAAAATGTTCAGAACTGGGGCCTATCAAATAAGTTTTTTCTTTAAAATCCCTGGAGTGCTGTGTTGTAACCTCTGTGGGAAAGTCACCTGCAAGACCAGACCTGGCTTGTATTTTCATTTTTTTTGTCTGCAAACACATGAGGTGTGTCAGCCTCTGCACCCACAGCCACCAGACTCTGCAGGGGCTCTGGCTCCTGTCTTTTCTTTCTGGGTTCGGGTGGTGATACTGGCTGCAAGCTCCCCCTCCTGAGCTGGTAAAACTGTAGCCAGAGCCTGCCTGTGCTGTGTGTCTGGGTGCACCATCAGCACAATTTCCTCTGGGGTCACTGCCTCCAGGCAGCTCATGGCAGGGGTCTGCCAGGCTGGCAGAGGTGGGAGCTAGGGTGACAGGAGGATGAGATGCATCTTCTGGTTCTACAAGAAACCGGGTTGGTTTCCCTACCCTGATGTTGGCCAGCCCTTCCTGACTCTGGCTGTGTCCCAGCTGGCCAACCGGCTCATCCAGCCCTGCAGGGAGGAGTTGTCACCGGCTGACTGGGAAACCCAGGGCTACTGTGGGATGTGGGTGACACTGCCACTCTACCCTGCTTTGGGGGGAAGGCAGGAGGGTGGCTTGGAGTGAGGGACCCCATGAATGTCATTTAGGACGTGGAAGTGCAGGCTTGGGAAGGGAAACTTGGAAACTCGCCTTTCTGTCCAGGACCAGGTGCCAGAGGGAAGGGGTGTGAGGGGGAAGGGAAGATGCTTGCAGTGGGAGTCAGGTCCCCACAGCAGAGCCTGTGCCTGGAGGTGTGGGACTGCTTGCAGCAGGGACACAGCTAGGCGTTGGGCTGCACAACAGTGCCTGGCTGTCGGCTGCGGACGTGCAGCTCAGCCTCGTTAGCCAGATCCAGCTCCTCATTAAGCCTGGCTGTAAGTAGAGCGGGGACAATTAAAGGAGTGAGTGTCCCACAAACGCACTGAGCTGCAGAGGCGAATCGCAGGCTCCTGTGAGGTGCTTAATCATTCAGCACCTCTCATCTCCCATCTGGGTGCTTCCTGCAAACTGCCCAGGGGGGCCCACACCCTTTCTAACTGGGATGCTTGTTCAGGTGTTATTTTTTAAAGGGATGTTTTTGCATTAGGCAGAGACAGGGATGCCTGGTGCAAGTATGGGGCTGCCCAGCACAGTCACCCTATATTCCTGATCCCACTCTTTCTCCCTCAGGTGCCAAAGGGCGGCAGTGTCCTGCCAGCCACGGAGATCGCAAAGCCTCCGGTGGTGCCCCAGGCCCAGGACAGGAAGCCCCAGGTGGCCTACAAAACAGAGATCGTTGGAGGGGTGGTGGTCCACACGCCCATTTCCATCAACCAGGTGAGCTGATTTGCACTCTCGTTTCTGGAAACCAGTGTGGTGTCTGCAAACCCTTCCCACCACAGGTATACACAGCTGCTCTGAGCACCCTGTAGCACCTCTGCTTTGTCTTGTTCTGAAGTGTGATGAGATGAGTGAGTGTGAGGAGGAGGCCACAAATCTGCTTGGCTTCCTGACTGTCACCATCCACCTACACGTCCTGGGTCCAAATACTGCCTCGAGTGCCCAGGGCAGAGGAACCCTGTGTCGCAGCCAGAGGGAGTAGCCTGTCCTGGGGACAGTGGCTGGCACCACTTGCCATGGCTCTGCACCCCCTACCCTAGCACGTGGCTGGGTGTGCCTGTGGCTGTCAGCGTCTCCCACCTTTGGGTGCTCGTCCGGCTTTGGGTCTCACTTCAGCTTTTATCAGTGGCAGCCCTAAAAATAGAGTGGAGAATTAGATCATTGCATCGCTTTCTGCTGTCAGTGCTTGTAACACTTCCCTGGCCGCAGGCTTTGGCAGGGTGAGGAGGTGTGTGGATGGGTATGGGATGCAGAGGTGTTTTTTCAAGGTGCTGTATCAGCTGCCAGAATATTTCCATGCTCTTGCTGCTTGCCCCATGTGAAATGGCCATTCCTCCGCTGCAGCTTCCTGGGTGCGTTTGTGGTTTCCTGGCTGTTCCTCGGCTGGCTGGTGCTGCCCTGCTGTGGCTCTGGGACTGCAGCAGGGAGCTCCATGCTCTGACTGCACCCCCAGACCGGCCAGCAGCATCACCACAGCTCCTGGGTGTGATCCTACCTGTTGCAGGAGTGTCCTCACCTCTGGTTTTGGACACCACATCTGTAACACCTGGCAGAGCTGGTGCAGCCCCGTGCCAGGCGCGTGGGTGGTGTGCCCGCTGTGGCCAGGCCGGAGCTCTGCTCTGCTGCTCTCTGGGTGGCAGGTTGGGGCCAGCCAAAAGGCTGTTTGTCTGTCCTGGGGATGCCAAAGCAGCTCTGGAAGGTGCTGGAAGGCGCAGGGTGGGCAGGCTAACCGCACCGGCAGGCACACCGGCGCGGGGCCCTATAAAGCGGGGCGCCGGCA